CGCGCCGCGGCCCCCCCCCCCGCCCCCGCCGGGGGGGGGGGGGGGGGGGGAGGGGCTCGGCCAGGGCCCCACAGCTCGGTGCCCGGCCCCGTGCCAGGCCGACTACAAATTGCATGTCTCATGCGCCGCCAAGGCGGCTGCCAAACTCCTCTTCGCCAGCAGTTCCTGCCCACCTGGACTCACCCCCCCCCCTCCATCCCCCACCCCCGCTGCAATTGTCCAGGTGGAGGCCCGTCTGCGCCAGCTGGAGGGCCGGCAGTTGGAGGGCGAGGCAGCGAGGCCCCGGGGTCTGCCCGGCGCAGCCCCGTACGACGCCGCGCGCCAGGGCGCCGCGCCGACGCTGCTGACCACCCCCAAGGCATACAACGCGGACGCGGACGTCGTCGCGGCAACCACCGAGAAGAAGAAGAAGAAGAAGCGGGAGGCGGAGGCGGACGTAGTGGAGGCCGAGGAGCCCACCAAGAAAAAGAAGAAGAAGAAGTCGGGCGATGCAGGGGTGGCAGTGAATGAAGAGGAGGCAGAGGCAGCCAATGGCCTTGAGAACGGGGATAAGGTAAGCGGTGGCTCTTTCCTGTCGTGGTGAAGCAGCTGGCCTTTGTAGCGCCAAGTATTTCGGCCATGGGCGTGGCTTGTGGGATGCAAGGCTCCGTATCCTTGTCAGGAAACAGCAAACCTGAGCGATGCGTTTTCACACAAGATCTTCGACATCGATGATCTGAAGTCTGTCCAACGCACTCACCTCATCACGCACCCCTCGCAGAAGGAGAAGAAGAAGAAGAAGAAGAAGGCAGATGCATGATGACGATCTCGCTGCATTGTGACTCTGTATCTGTCTTCTGGACCACCCCCCCTCCCCCTTTCAAGTTTGTACTATGACTTTGTGAATGGCGTCGCTCCAACTCCATTGCTCGGATTCCTCCTGCTGCCAGCACAAAAATGCCATGCTTGCTGGCTCTGTGGCAATCTTTAAAAATACGCGAAATGAGAGACAGCATGCATCCCGGGTGTACCGAGACGCAGCAGTGTCGGAGGGTCCTTTAGGGACCTCTACCCTTAACATCCAACATACATGGGTCCAAGCCACTTTCGCACGAGCCTCCCAGGGCAGAGAGCATCCCTCCCTGCAGCACACGCCCCGGCAGCTGTTACCCCCAAACTCCAGGCATCGTCCCTGCCTCGTTCTGGCACCACATTACACCCAATCACAAAGCATGAGGCTCAGATCACTTCAGCTTCTTCTTGGGGCGCAGCTGGTTGCTGTGTCCGCACTTCTTCTTGCGGCAGTTGACCGCGCGCGGGTGCAGGCGGGCATAGCACCTAAGACAGGGGAATGGGGCAGGGGGGTTGAGGTGGCTTGGCGCAGGGGGCAGCTGGTGCTACCTCACAGACACAACATGGAGGAGAGGGTATCACGGCGGGCATGTGCCACCCATAAAATGACCCATGGGCTGTAGAGAAAGCAGCCCGAGGGCAAAGTGAGGAAGGAGATCAGTGTTGGGTGAGTATTCATCCCAGGGTCATTTGGAGCGACAATGGGGCAAATTTGTCTCACCCGGGGTGGGGAACACTCGCAAAGCAGTGACATGGAAACTTCCAAGGCCCAGTCACCCCTAAAATCCATAGACAAGGGGTGGGACTCAGGTCCATCCCTGCTGCCCCAGAGCACCACCGGTGCAACTGCAACATCACCCCTCGCCACTGGACCTACTTGCGGCAGATCATCTTGTCCTGGTTGTACTTGCGGGCCAGGATGAGCAGGGAGGGCTCGATGATTCCACCACGCAGGCGCAGGACCAGGTGGAGGGTGGACTCCTTCTGGATGTTGTAGTCGGACAGGGTGCGGCCATCCTCCAGCTGCTTGCCCGCAAAGATCAGGCGCTGTTGGTCCGGGGGGATTCCCTCCTTATCCTGAATCTTGGCCTTCACGTTGTCTGCAGGGCGATGAGGGTATGGGTGGGTTGCTATCCTGAGGAGGCAGGGTCTCTTCCCACAGTGCCAATCGTTGAGGAGGAGAGGGACGTGCCCTGCTAGCTCCCGGAGCTCACAACATATCGTCCAGCCGCAAATGCACAAGTCAACCTCCCTCTCACCAATGGTGTCATTGGACTCCACCTCAAGGGTGATTGTCTTGCCCGTGAGGGTCTTCACGAAGATCTGCATTGTGAAGCTCTGTGCGGGAAGGGGAGGTCGTGGTTGGAAGGCGGTAGCAGCCCTCAGAGGCCGTGCAAGGGCACCAGTGGTCCTCAAACGGCACCATATATTCAATCAGCGTATCTGGTCGCTACCGCACAGAACCTCAACCGCCCAGTAGCACAAGCGGGGCAGCCACGCGCTGGCATCAGCCGTCGTCACCGTCCCGCGCAGCCTATACATCCCCTCGAGCCTCTGCCTGCCCGTGCTCACAGCTCACCCCCCAGAACGCCCGTCTACGGTGCCGAAAGAGGGCGACCCCTCCTTGCGCCCAGGCACTTCTCGGGCGGCAGAATAAGCCCGATAGAAAGTGCGCCGCAGGAGTTCCCACGATTTCCCGCGCAAATGGAACGCCAGGCATGGACCGCCATTTGGGGCCCAGAGACAGAATACTAAGCTTCACCGAGATAATCGAAGAGAGCATAAGGATCTTTCTTCCCCAAAGCAGAGGTATGCCACACCCACTCAATTGTGAAGCCTAATGTTTCATCAAGTTCACCTTTGGTGGACTCAATGATGGCTGAAGCTGTAGGTATCATGTTGAAGGACGTCATATCCATGATTCAGTAAAATTGAGAAAGGAAGGGAGGGTGAACAAGCTGTATTGCTTGAAAGCTTCTGCAACTATCCCCCTTGGGGCTTCCATGTACATGTATTCTCGCTAGTCAATTGCTTCAGCTGGTGTCGTTTGGACAAGCATTTACAATCTAGTCATTCAATGCAGATTGGTGCCCTCCGAGAGACGGCGCTCGTGGCAGAATGATCCAGCTGCAATCCATTGGAGGATGAGGGCTTCTACTCCATGTGCATCAGTGTCAATGGACCGTGCAACCTTGGATTATTCCGGACAACAGTATTTTACATGACGATGCAGTCGTGCATGAATTGCCATTTCCAGGGTTCTTAGAGTATGAAGGAGCGTGTGTCCATCGCACGTTGCCCTCGGCGAGGGCAATATCCGTTTGAAGATAATGCGGTTCTCTTAGGGTTTGGCATGATCGAGGAGGTGCAAAGAACGTTTGGATATCCGAGCAAATACTTGTCAGAAAGATCATTGGCCACACCAAGTAATGTTTATGACATGGAGTTGCGGGTTTGACCTGGGGTTCTCTTGGGTGTCGATCATTGCATGTTCGAAGGGGCCAGTCAAGCCCTAAGCGGGTCAGGGTGCAGCACAGTAGGGTCGTGTGCGCCCTCATTCAGATATGCTCTGCTGAATGGAATTATTTGCGAGGGTGTTGAGGCGAGTCGTCGCGTAGAGGGTTTGCTTTTTACGTGGAGGCGCCTCGAACTACAAAACACTGCCAGCTCGTTCTTGGACAGCGCTATTGGCCCTCGAGGAGAAGGGACGGTGCACATCTGCAACAGCGTTCTAAACGCCCAACTCCTACATAGGTTTCCGAAATTGCTGGCACAGGTCCAAAGTGTGGTCCGCATTCCCCTCATGGCCCTTATCAAGGCATGCCGGTGGCTAGCCTGAGGAACCTCCCACATCTGACGGGGACAAAATTCCACGCCTGGTCTCCGCCTCGCTCGCAACAGAGTACCCCGCACACCGGGGCCCCTGATGCTCATTTTCCCGACAGCAAGGACAATTTTTGGACTAAATCTGCAGGGCCAAGCGCTGAACGGTTCCTCGAGCGACACTTGGTGCCGGTGCGAGAGGCTGGAGTATCCGGCCCAGCACTCTTTCGTGAATGGAAACCCCAGGGTGATGGACCAGCATCAGGATGACATGTTTCAAACGTCACGGCAGGACCAGGTGGGTGGTCGAGGCTGCCCCGGCTAGGCCACCGTTCTATGGCAGTACAGCAGGAGGCCCATACCAAAGCAACGCCATGGCCATGGGACGTGGGAGTGGGCCCCGACCCTATCCAATCACTCCGATATGTCCCTCCAGGACTACGCGTGGAGGAGCGGCAACCTGCAGTCCTCTGCAACCCGACTAGACAGGACAGGGCAGGATGCCCAACTGGGTCCCGGCGCTGGTGGCCACCCCGCGACCCTCTTCGCCCTCCCTTCCATATCCGGTGGGTTTGCAGCTGCGCAGCGAGGGTCAGCGCCGGGTGCTGTCTGATTTCCGGAGCGAGTCGTCTTTCGCGTTTTCGGATCCCTTCCCCTCACCGCGGGCGCCCCCTCGCCTCGCAGAGAATGGCAGCGGGGCATTTGCGGGCATGGAGCCCCATGTTCGTATGCCGGACGCCATGCCGGGGCGAGGTCGGCAGGAGGGTGAGGTGGTCAGTCAATACTCGGCCGGTGGCCCCTCCTCGGGCCTCCCACCCCGGCCCCCGGACTCGGAGGAGGAGGATGGGGATGAGGATGACGACGACGGGGACGACTACAACGAGTCTGGGAGCTCGGGCCGGCCTGCACGCACGCTCAAGCGGCGAAAGAGCACCACCTCGACCCGCTCCCGGCGCTCCAATGCGCAGGTGGGTCCTGCTTCGCTCGGACGGCGGGTGCCTTTGCTGATGTTGGACCTCCAAGTGCACCAGTCATGGTGGCAGTGGCGTGTCGGTGCCCAATTCAGACCTGGCATGGGCTTTGTATCGCCCCCACCCCTGATCTTCCCCTTCCACCACCAATCGTCCCCCCC